TTTTCAAAATTGTTATCAAATATATGCAAAAGTTCAATAGAGTACTACCTCATAACTGTTAAACTAATTCTGTATTTGTAAAATCTGATCCTCTCATGATACAAATACTTCAAAGCAGAATTATGGGATGAACTGCCTATATAATAATCACTACCAAAATGTTGATATATATATATATATATATATATATATATATATATATATATATATACCCCCCTTTGCATCTGCATAAATATTTTTTAGATTAATAATATTTCTTACAAGATTTTCAAGGTCAGCTAACATGAAAAATTATGAATACTGAGAGCAGTAACAATAGTAGTTAGTGATGCCTCAATGATCACAGTAGATTACTAATTTTCTTTAAATCTTGATAAGGACAAAAACATCAAAACCTAATGTTTTTTGTTTTTTTTTGTTATTGTTTTTTTTACGGATATATTGAAACAAATTACAAATAAGTATTTAAAATACCTTTGTGGAAAAAGGCTGAGATTTAATTACATTTAAAGGCATCAATTCTAAATTGATCTAACCTTAATTCTGACTTTTTTGCCCTCTAGATAGTATCAATACTTGTCCAATTTGCAACTTTCTTTTAATTTACAGGAGTGCATATTGGAATTTACAAGCACTGGTTTGGAAATATTTGGAGGGAAAGTAAATTGAAAAGGCCTTATCTCTATGCAACGCCTAAATGACAAAGTCTACCTGTAGAAAGATTGGAACAATAATGTAATTTTTCATAAATATTTTGAGATTATATACATTTATATTTCTTAAGCTTTTAAAGAAAGACTAAGTTTTTTTCTGTATCGAAGATTAGCTACAATTAACATTTAACAAGTGCTATTTATTTAAATTTTATTAAAATAAAAAGATAAATGTAATACTTTGATGAGATGCAATCAACAATTGTTTCAAATGGTTGGTACCAATTTAAATGTATTTGTTGTATTAAATATTTGAATTTAACTAAAATATTGAACTTAGATTATGCTTATTATATTTGTGCCAATAAAATAGTCAATATTTTATAAGAAATTAAATAACCATATTCATTGTTAAACCAAAAGTTTTAACTGAACATATCAGAACCGTAAGATATTTTTCCATAAAAAATCTATTTACCTTAAATTACAAAATTCTTAGGATATCACCTCTAGAAAATATTCACTAAGACCACAAAACAAGAATTATTTTTCATAAGAGATATTTTTCAGTAGAAAAAAAAAACCAAAAAAACAAATTACTTTCTCTCTCTACACACACACTATTGATTTCAACTTTAGTACAAAAGTATATACAGATATACCATCTTTGAAGTAATTTCTACCTTTCACTTCACTTTTGTGTCACAATGTGCATAAAAATGAAGTAACATTATTTTTAAGCACATTTTTGTAATTATATTTTTATACCATAAATTTGACAAAAAAAGCATATTATTCAGTATATATTCAAGAGACTTATTTTTTACAAATTTTCAATGAATAATATTTCTTACAAGATTTTCAATGTATGTAAAGAAAAAAGATGTTTATCATTGTATTCACTGCTTCTAGATTATTTTAATATTTTTGTCATTTTCATCATCATAGAATGAATTTTCACTAATGAAAATATTCAGAATTTGAAACAATTGATTTTATGTATTTAACTAAACAAAATAAGGGCTCAAAGATATTATGAAACATTTTTACTGATGAGTTATTGCATATTTATTCTTATTAGTACATTACATGTTTACTTTATTTTGGCATTAAAAAACCAGAAAGTTTCATTGATTACTGTTAAAAAAATGAAATTGAAAAATAGAAACCTCTTACACAACACAAGAAAAAGAAATTTATATTTTTAATTAGTTTTATTTTATTTTTAAACAGAATAATTACACTAATTAGAATACACTGTTTTTTTTAGTTAACTTTTACATTCCATTTTACTTCCTGCTTTATTTCATAAAGAAATATGTATCTGTAGAATTGTTTTTTCTAAGTACTTAAACATAGATACAAGAAATTGAATAAATCTATCAAAAATTGAAATCAGAATAATTAAAATATTTCATAAGTTCATTCATAATTTTATGATACACACATTGTGAGCTATACAAGAGAGTTCCTGTTCAGTTCATTGTTTACTGCATACAACTAACAAGAGGAAACAAACAGACAAAACATTCACAAAATGTCACTCAAAGAACTAGAATTTTATTTATAAAAGAAATTTCCAGTTATTTCTTACAATTCACAAAGCAGAAGTACATGCATCCAAAATATTTACAATCTTAGCTTGTAACATTCTTAATACAAAAGAAACACAGCATTTTATAAATTAAGCTGTTTAAATAAACTGCCTAGTCTAAATATGTCTTAAAAAAGTTAATACAAGCTGCAAAAATGATTATATATATATATATATATATATATATATATATATATGCATTTTGCTCAGAAGAGAAATTATTATTATAATACACTAATTTATTTGAACTGGTGTCCTCATCTCAGTTATTATAGTTTTAAGAGAATAAAGTTTGCTTACATGCAATAAACAAATTAATAACCATTGAAATAATAAAGCATTTTTGATGATGAAAATGACAAAAATATTAAAATTAATCTAGAAGCAGTGAATACAATGATAAACATCTTTTTTTTCTTTATATACATAATTAGAAATAACTACTACTACTGTCCAGTAAATGTTTGATTATTAATAGAAAATAAAATACAGTAGATATTAAATTTTCATACGTTTTCTTTTGTAAACAAAATTTATAAATTGAAACAAGAAATAAAAAAAAAAAAAAAAAAAGCAAAAAATAAATATGAAATCAAAATATCTTTAATATACATTCTAGTCAGATGAAATTTTTATAATCCTACTGTAGATAATAGGGAAGATTAAGCCATTCAGCTGGGTCTTTATCATAGGGAAGTGAGGGAGGTTTGGCTTCAAAGGGAGTGGAGGCAGCTGGAATAGTGCACTCACAGGCCAGGAATGCAGAAAAGCCGTAAGCACTCTCCCTCTGCTGTCAGCCATAATTCCATTAAAAAAGATCGAACTGTACCACATAGTTCATTGGTTAGTTTGTAACAGAGTTCACTCTTCTGGGAATCACTGATAACCTTTCTGATTTTTGGGGCAGTTATAAAAAGAATCTGACAATTGATTTATCTCACACACATGTGCATACACTTTGTCAAGCAATGAAAGCTCATTTCAATAGAATTTTATGATAATACTGGCAATGGGAGCTGCATAACTTCAAATAGATGCTAACTGACAAGAGAATCTATTTGAAATCAATGCAAAAGAGCTGAGACTAGTTTTCAGAGAAAGTGCACTGCCAAAAGCAACATGGCTTCAGAGATGAGAAAATCCCATTTATAAATCTCACAGCAATCAGTTCCAGACCAAATGACTGCTGCTATTTAATGATAACTCTTGTTAACTGCTAAACCAAGCAGTCATCAAGATTAAAAGAAAGAAAGCAAATCTTTAGCCATTTATTTTGATAATATCCTTTCATCACCATTTTCTCATTTACAAAGACACCATTTTCTAGCACCCCCCCATGTGATGAAATGAGAGAAAAGTCTTCTCTGCTAGATCATACAGCTCTATGAATACAGATGATAGGAGTAATGCAAGTTATTAATAAAGACTAATTTTATATGTTTAAAAATGTACATATAAAATTTGATACTGCAAAGGTATATAGTAATAAGCAATCAAGTAGACTACAGGATGTACAATTTTTATTCTTTAAATGACATACTAAAGTCTTTGGAAAATCTAAGATATACTTAAAGCATTGAGTATTAAATGAAATTAATCACTTGAGCTTGACATTAATTTAGGCCATGCATCATTATGAGCAAGTATTAATATTTCAAATTTGTAATAGTGCTGCTAAAATTCATCTGCTGAAATCATAAATCAGGTAGCATATTCAAACTTTCATCTTAGTTTCAGTCCAGATTAAATCCATCACCATTTAGGATTTAATTATGGATCTCTTAGCAAACAGATATGTAATTAATTTTGTACATTTTCATAACGTTCCACAACTTGCTACAATAGCAATAGAATTTCAATAATTTTGCATTTATTAAAATAAGAGGAAATTAAAAATTTTCTTATTCAAGCATTAAAAACTGGAAACTTTCTAACTTTTATGTTGGTAGCATTCTTTATAGTACAGGTTAGTAGTATAGGAAAATAGAACAGTTGATAGAACATCTTTTAATATGAAACAATACCAGTCGTCATTGGTGATGTAATGGCTAGCAAGCTTGTCTTGCTAGATCAATTACAAGTGAGTAGTAAGTTCAATCCTCACTGGGTATTCCATACTTGTTGCTTTGTGTGACATCTAAGCTACACTTAGTAAATCAGAATTCCTGTCATCTTAATACAGATATTTTGTAGTCATTAAAGCTTTAAAATGACTTACAAAAATCATGAAATCAAAACATTTTTATGCATTTATTGCTGTCCACTGATCAAAAATTGTTAAAAAATATATAAACCAACTACCATTTTATAAATAACTATGAAAATAAGTTTTTTCTTCTTAATTTTATAAAAATATCAATGAACTATTAAGAATAAAGAAAATGTATAAATTTGTGGTTTTATTAAAATTCTAATCATCACCTTTTAAAACAAACATTACCAAGTGATATACAGTAATAACAGTGTCAAAGTGACAGTCCTTTTGACAGTTTTTTTTTTTTTAAGGGATGAAGATTAAACATTGGCATAAATTCATTGGTATCTAGTGCCAACAAAAAAAGTGTATACTTAGACATTTAAAAAAAAAAAAAAAAGTTTTGGGGTTTTGTTGAAGATTTATTTCATAATGCATGGATAGGAAAGAGCAGTATGCAGCTTGAGTCAAATGCAATCATATGACAGTGCCATAAACCAGAGTTGGTAGAATATAGAGCAATCAATACCAGAGACATAAGGTAAAGAGATGCACTCAC